ATGGCAACCGAGGTTATCAGTTCCCAGCCCAATGTATCATAATAGGAGGAAGTAGAAGAAAAAGGTATGACCAAGTAGGAAAGCTTTATGCAAGGGTGTCTATCAGTGTAGAAGGACCGATAGTACGGTGATAGAACGAGTGGGTATGCATAAGTGGATAGAGGGGGAAGGCTAATTAGAAGATAGCTTGATCTCTAGAGAACGTAAAACTAGACCCACTCGTTAGACCTACCTGTTTCGTGCCTACTACAGTCATGGGAAATATATATCGTAGGAAGAAGACTTCCGAGCCCTTACATGCTACCCAACCCAACCTATACCCAACCCTGACCCAGCCCGTACCCAACCATTTTCTCGAAAGCCTAACCCCTCCATACTTCTGATTTCTCAGTTCCTAGTCCCAGTCCCAACCCCACCCCGTATCCAAACTCACCATCTGAATTTCCTATTACATTCTCAAATTACCAACTCAGCCTACCCCCACAAAAAGCAACGAAGAGAAGCTTGGAAAAGAAAAGAACCCTGGAAGGCCCACGACAAGCGACGCGACAGGACACGCGATTACAATGAACTTTCCCATCCTAATCCCAGCGACAAAAACGAAAAACAAACAAGCAGGGCCCCCCCAAAAAGGACCCTGCATCCTGTACTTTAAATGTCGTCATTATAGTCGTCCACGTGGCTATCTGTGTGCTGCACGTGGTGTGGCCATCACAATTTGCATGGATGGGTCCATGGTCCAAAGTTCTCCACGTGGTGTGACTGCCTCGTATATGCATGTGAGTCCTTCGGCGCTTGTCCTTGTCCCTTGCCCCTTGAAGTCGTTTGGAGGACCGCATGTGGATGAAGGACGATGTCCCTTGGAGGACTTGTAAGATAAAGGACAATGTGGAGGACTCTTCAGGTGCAGGACCAGGCTAAATCCGGCACGCACTCCGGTCGTCACAACATAGCATAGCATAGCATAGCAAAAATAGTGTCACAACCACGTACCGAGATGAGGAATTTCGCACAACATGAAATTCATAGGTAAAATAGAAGCCAGTCGTACAGCAGAACCCCCACAAACAAATAAAACAAATACATCCCAGCCCGCGCGATTCGCATAAGAAACGGGCATATATTAGACTAAGACTAGGAAACTTGGAAATCAAACCTCAGACCCGGAAAAGAGAAAAGAAAACGCCTTGGTATAATAAGTCACGGAGAGTAGTTCACCTCTTCAAGAAAGAGAAGGGAAGAACAAACCCCCACACCCCCCAGCCCGCCGATGAGGAGATACGAGAAAACGTTCTCACGCCAGTCCATAGGAATGATATCTCATGCCAGTCCCGCTCCGCCTTGTGTGTCGTGTGATGGTGTTTGCCCGCCGCCGCCGCCGCTGGTGTCTGCTCTGAGAAGTCGAGTCTATCCAGTAGGGAGTGGTGGTGAATAGACTCGTCATTCTCTTGCCGCCGCTGCTTCCCCACCATGCCCTATGCTCCATGCTCGTGATAAAGGTATAAGATACATCTGCGTGCGTGCGATGCTGGAAACCCTCGAAAAGCGCATTGTCGATAGCGGTGAAACGTCACAGCCGTCCATATTCCAGATGATTGCCTTCTTCACACCTCACAGCAACAGTTCCCTCTTACGCCTTCAACCCCTTCTTCTCCCCTAATGTCTTGGGCCTAAACACAGCGTCCTGCCCAGACATGCGTCTAGCAAGTGCGCGGTCCAGCTTGGCGCCCAGCGCCAGCTTCTTCATATCGTCCGTCTTCTCATTTGTCAGTGTGTATCGCTGCTGGACGAGGCGCTTGTCTTCGAGACGGTCGAAACCGGCGTTCCATGTCTTGATGTCGAGGGATTTGGGGTCGCACGATGAGGCGGTCGAGAGGTGCGAGGGCGCGACTGAGGGGGTCAGGGTGGGCGTGGCGCTGTAGGTTGAGAGGCGGGTTGAGGCGCGGTTGCCCGAAGACTGTGTTTTGTCCGTGTTAGGGGTTGTGGTGGCTTGGCTTGGGGTTGCGACATTGTGGGTTTGTGCCGCGGTATGTTTGTGTTGTGGAGAAAGATGGGTTGGTGGTGTTGTAGAGTGTTTATTTTGTGCGGTAGTGATTATGGTAGTGTGTAGAGTGCCGGAGCTAGGCTTGGGTTTTGTGGACGAAGAAGGAGTATGTTGAAATGATGTGGGTGTGCGCGGCACAAGAGCTTCGACCACGGAGGGCAGGGGAGGGCTGAAACGGAGAGGTGGATGCGGCGGGAGAAAGACTTACGCTGGCAAGGATGGGCCGCGAGGACTCAAGAGAGTTGGTCATGACTGCGGGCCGCCGTGGGTTGGGCAGTCCAGTCGATACGGCGTGAACGTGCGCGGGGGGTGTGGGTAGCTTTGACCTTTGTCTTTAGCGACGCGGTCTGTGTAGCGGAACGCAGTCAATTGAGCGGCGAGATACGAGAGGAAAAAAGGGCGCGAGAAGGTGAAGGAAACAGGTCGGGCGTGTGTGTGTGTATGCGTGACCGAACTAGGCATGTGCTGCTGCAGAGATGATGAAGGACATGGACGTAGACGGAGGCGTCCCTATCCTGGCTTGGAGCGCGTTTCAAAGGACCCAGATCGGCAAGGGGGAATGTCAAAGGGCAAGATGCAGATGCACAAGCAGGGCTGCAGGGGGTCACGTAGGTATGTACCCACCTAGGAAACGAACAACGGGTTTGCAGACGAGATTTGCAGCCGAGTCGGTGAGATGGAAGCCTTGCCATGCCCAGCGTCAGCAGGAGCAACTTGAAGACGGAAACCGGCAACCGTCATACGTGCAGTGCTTGACCAAGGCACCGGACTGAAACGGCTGTCGACAAGGCCCGGTGCATCTTTGATATTCGATAGACTGATTAACATGCACCCGATGCATTTCTAGCCACTCGTGAACATGTCCGTCACTCGGCACCACCCACGACCAGCCAATCCCATCATCTCGCCGCCGCTTACAGCGCGTCTGCCACGTTTTTTGCTGCGGGAACTTACCTTGGCCGCCGCTGCTTACAGGGCATGGTGTGCTTGGCCATGTCTCCACCGCGTGTGCAGTGCCTAGAGTTTGGTGTCGTCTTTCGTGTGATAAGACACTACTCAGACGCTGCGAGCGACGCAAACGGCCACTGCAGCCACAGAGCAACATTACCCGCGCCCTTTGTTGGCCCCCCTTGTCGATAACGTCGACTCAGTTGCTACCCTAATCTATGCAGTCACCATCGCCTGTTAAATAGCAACTGCAGCTAGTCTTAGCACCTCCTTTACCAACCTGCCATCTCGTCATGATTCTTGTCACGAGACAAACCATCCGAGGTGGCATCTCCAGTGGACCTAGAAGCAGGCGCTACGATAACAAACCTCGTAAAGCTGACTGCTGACATGAATTCACCCTTGGCCTAAGCGCCTGCATGGAACGCATGGAAAAAGATCCTCGACACGTGGCCGCCGGCAGACAACGTGGACGCACGGCCCCTTTTCTCAATCCGACCAATGTGTCTTGTGGGGCCCTTTTTTGCGGACTGGACTTCTCGGACGCAGGTAATCACGCTGAAACAACATGACCGGAGCAAAGTGTCGCACGTACGATAGAGAGCAGCAGAGCAGCATCAAGTAAATGAATGCACCGGAAAGATTGCGTTTATCAATGACTAGAAATACTGAAGTTTGCATGCAGAGCGCTTGCCAGTATGAGTGTGACTTCTAGTTTGCGCCGTCGTTCCTAAACACGGCTTGGCACCACTACCACCATCACCACCGCCCGCCGCGGCAACCACGCCATATCCCCAAGCTAACAGCCAAGGCATGACTCGTTCACGTCGGCTTCCCCACTGAACCGCAAACATGTCATCTCCGGGGCATTGACCAGAACCGATCCCGAGACGAACTTGACTGGTGTCGTGCGGAGAAAAGGACGACACGTTTGAGATTGATCGTTCCCTCAGGAGAGCAAAGGAAAAAAAGCAAATACCAATCGCACTCGAAACGACTGATGGATACATGACGGAGGAGTCCGAGAAGCGAACGTAACAAACCGAATCCGGGGTTATCCGAATCAAGGAGAAAAAGCAAATGGGACTACGAGCATCATCCTGTAAAGCACATCCCCATGACTTCTGTTCACATTGCCATGCCCGGCAAACGGTCGAGCCCTAGAAGAGGATGCTATCAGCCATGATCAATATCGACGACGACCACAACAACTTACACCCATCAATATTCTCCTGCACAGAAGGCTTAACCGTACACTTATTCATCGCCTGAACATTCTGACTCTGCACACTCACATCAGCACACATACAACTCACAGCCATGACAAGCCATCAACTCACCTTCAACGGCCTCCCATTCTCACACGCCTGAAACATACACTTATCATCCATCGCCTTCTGCAACGCATCCCCCTTCCAACCAAACAGATAATCCGCATGCGTCCCGTACCCCTTGTTATCCTTGTAACTCAAGAAAAAAGGATTGTTCCCATCCGTTGGCCACATATCTTTGAACTGCGTCGTGTCCCACAGCGTCTCGTACGCCACCTGCGGCATGCGCACAGGATGGGAGGCGGGACAGGGACCGGCAACGGCAAAAGCTTCTTTGGCCGTGTTGTACATGTGGTCTTGGTGGTTGGGCGAATCGACGTTTTTGCCGTCCCAGCATGAGGGGAAGTGGTGGACTGTCATTATGCCGCCTTTGCAGGGCGTGGTGGGGAAGGTGGGGGATTCGGGGAAGCGTGTGTTTTTGTCCGTGAGGCAGACGAAGCGCAAGCCCGGGTGCTTTTTTGCGTCTTCGACTGTGTTTGTGGTGGGGGAGCCGACGGTCATGCGGAAGCCCTGGGGGGTTTGTTAGGTTGGAGGTGAGGTATGTGAGGGGATAGTACGCGCCTTGGGGAAGGAAGTGATCTTTTGGTTGCCGTTGCTGTTGAAGTCTTGCTGAGTGTAGTAGACTGTCATGCCCCCGTTTATGCCGTTGGGCAGTGCGGCGTTCTCCATGATGGACACGCGTTTGTAGGAGCCATTGGTGTGTTTGAAGTACATGGCTGCGGTCCAGTAGTTGCTATCTCTTTCAGTTCTTGTGACGAAACAGTAGTTGGGAGTACTTACCTAAAGTCCTCCGAGAACGTACACGTGGTGCAGGATGCCAGTTTGGATGGATCCGTGTCCATTGTAGCGTTGAACGCATTACCACCGACAATCTGATGGACGTGAGCAGACGGTAGCTTCCCTGGTTCAACGAGCGGATCGAGACGCTGGATACTCAGAGTCGAACATCCAAAGCGTAGTGCGGCTTGCGCAGGCGCTGCAAGAGCGGCAATCTGATACAACTTCATTCTCGTGCTATGTTCTTGTCGGGTTCTAAGCAATAGTGTAGAATTCCTATCATGGACAGAGGAGAAAGCATCATCTTAAGCCCCACCATTTTCAATTATTGTTCATCTCAGGTAGCAGTCACTGCTCCGGATACATGGTGGTGATGGGGTATGGTGTCGAGATGCTCTATATATTGATTAATCACATTGGCATGCGACCAATGACTACCATCGCGTCAACATGTCCCCACGTCGATGTTCGGGAGTTGCACCACCACGTTATATTGGTATCGGGGGGATAAACTCTACACTTCGGCACTTGTGTTTCGCGTAAATTTCTGTCAATCACGGCAGATGTGCTTGTAGTGTTGTCGCTATCTTGCCAGCATGGTTCTAAACTACTTGCCCTGTCTCCGTGCCACCAGCTGCCATGTTGAGATCGAATGCATATCCACTTTCGCTATCATGATTCCGGTGTCGATGTGGAGTCAAAGATGAAAGTCGTTTTTAGCCGATGTAGAAAGAGTGAGCTTCTTCGAGATACTGATGGCTACAAGGAGAGAGATAGCATCTGCCGCATAGTGTCTGTACAACCTGAGCATTATCGTTTCTATGATACCACGGTACCCATCCTTAGCATGTCACACTGAAGAATTATCGGTTGCAAGGCTTTGAAGAACCCTCTGCCTCGCATAGAGCACAACTGGCAGCCTCTAGAATTGGACATGTAGGCGCGTGTACCATCGGCCAAGAGATATACGTGGAGGCAATGACGTGAGATGCGGAAGTAGTGGCGGGTCCAGAAAGGCATAAGGAATCAATGCATAGGTATGTGACAGGAAGAGAACAAATCGTGTATTGTAGCGAACCAACTCATCCGATTAAAGCTTCGTCCTAGAAATACGACTCAAACCAGTTCATGCACGAAACAAGTACATAACTGATGAAGGTGGAGAAACATGCGTGAACTTGTTGTATTGGAGCTACGGGAGAAGGGAGAATATCTATGGTGCGCGCACGGAGCAGCTGACTAATCAGTGCCTGGCCAATCAGAGCACGGGAAGCCTGATTCACCGTGAATACTAGTGAAGGCTCTCACCGCGTCTCGACAATAACCCCGCCATCCTTGTCCTCACCCACTACCCAACCTAGACACCTACACACAGTACATCCACAAAGTTCCTAGTCCTCATAATCTCGCCCACTCAGTTGTAACAGCTGCCTCGATTCGCCCAGCGCCTGGTGTCGACCCATCAACGTACCCGACCCGACCCACTCCGCGCGAAAGCTCTCATGCAATTGCAAGAGGTCCGCTTACTGTTGTGGAGTGCAGCAACTGTACTATTAATCCATGTTAGCTACAGCAGTCCTCATTCCTCCCATTCCATATACCAAGAATCGAAAAAATATACATACATAACTGCCACATTCCGAGTCACTTCCACACCTCCAGCCTGGGATGTACCCGGTCCCCGATGGGCTTAGCCCTGCACCACAAGGGTAGGATGTGGGACGATCGCAAAACCCGCCAGTGCATGCCGCGGGCGCGAGGAGACCAAAGACGCAATTTACCTGTACCTGTGCCTGACACACCCCAGCGGCAGCAAGGAGAACGAGAAGAGGTTGGAAGTGCATGGCAAACTTTGTTACTCCTGTAGTTGAGATAGGACAGTAGGATCGATGGTTTAGGCAGGGTACTGAGGTATTTCAAGGATTGTGAAAAAGATGGTGGTATGATTGGAATAAAAATCAGAGGGTCTGCGCAGGCGCTCTTTTATATCTACTCTCTCTCTCTCTCTCTCTCTCTCTCTCTGCTTACTCTCTAAGCTTTTTTAAAGTGGCCGAAATCCTTTGCTTACCACCGGCTTTTGCTTATGCCCTTCTCTTGTACTTGCCAAACTTGGGGGTAATTAAAAGCAGAATAATCCCTCACACCATACCAAGTCCTATCACCCACTGTGCGGCAACACCAATGTTCGCTTACCAGGTCGGCGGAATGAAGTATCTTGATACGTCGTTCTTTGGAGTTGCTGCTCGGCAATGCCCCGGGTCTGTGCTAAGTGCCGCCGATGCTAAGTTAAGTTAGCCGATCAGCTATTCGTGTACCGTTAGTCAACGTTGTTTGTAGAACCCATTGAGCTGGCGGAAGCTCATTATTTTTCGACTTCATATTTTTGTAGTTTGAAAAACTTCTTCGTAGAATACCAAAAATTCAAATCACACGTTGTTCTTTCCAGTGAGCAACACGAGGTACCTAGGTAGGTAGGATGGGACCGATTGTGATCGACACCTTTTCTCTCGTCATAGATACTAGAAGCGGCTACAATCAACGGAAACCTGAGGTCTAGACCTACACAGTAAGTCTGGGAAACTGGAAAGAATCAACACACAAATAGAACAACACTTCTATCATGGCAGAAACACCTCATCCTCCAGAAACCGATTCGAAAACCTTCGTACCTGCTCGTCAAACTTGCCCTTTCCTACTCATAGCAACCTGCTTAGAAAAGATCGCATGGACCCCCTTACCGCTATCACACCGTACCTAGCCAAGCTTCCGCTCTGTTCCGGTTCCTACGCCCAAGGTCAGCTTGTTCGATCGTCCACCCGGGTGTCAAAATGAAATTGACATACTAGTGTACAAAGCCCACTGTAGTCGCCAGACCACGCCTGACTATCATGTGCTTAACCCACACTGTCAAGTATTTTATGATACCCAGGTGCATTACAAATCTATCCCACCATACCCACTTCACGAAACCCCGACCCTCTTACCTAGAACGAAAATGTGCTTTCATCCCCGCCAAGTCTTCTAGCAGCATTGTCACTGTCCACATGAGTCAGCTTCCCTAGGCTGCACAGTCCGCAACAATCAATTAAGTGGGTCCTAGAAGGTTCAGATTGGATTGATTGATTACCGCTTTAAGCCTAGTAGTTACCTATAGGAGTTTAAGCCCTACCTAGATAGGTAAGTGGGTCTAGGAGAGTGACCGGATTGAATTGATTGTTGCGGAGTCTACTAGGCTGGAACTAAAATCACTATACACACTTGCTGAAGGCAATCGTCGTCCATGGAACACCTAGCAGTGATACCTGTTATATGGCGAGGTGATGATGGTACATCATAGTCGCAACATGGGCCTGATATTCGTTCACCGCATGTTTTCTTTGGATGATCATAATTCCAGCCCTCCGATTAGCTAGTGCATGATGCCTGGCACATGTCCGTCGCAGCTAGGAGAACGGGAAGAGCTTGAAAGTGCACGATGAAGTCATTGATACTATCGAATTAAAGAGATGAGAGTAGATGACGGTCATGGTTGGAAGTTCCGAATGTACTAGCAAGCGCTTTATTGAATACACTCGTTACCCCTCGTTACCCCTCGTTACACGTACCACGCCCCCTCTTTCTCATGCCTTCTCTTTGACTTGACCGCCAGATCCCGTTAAACGCTCATTCCTCTGTCCCCCTGCCCAAATACGTTGATGACTGTGATATCTTTCAATTTCTTACCATCGATAAGTTTCACCAAGTATCCCTGCTCTTGTACCTATGCCCCTTTTCTTTCGTGTAATGAAACATCGTAACCGCCGGCCCACCCCCCAAATATCATGATCGCTTTGTTCACTCCAAGCAAACGACTAGCCCAGGTGACCTGCTTCGCGAAACTTCTCGCGTGGTAGTATAGGTCGCTTATGCCTACTCTTCCTAATAACTGCAGCATTGCCACTATTTATCCAAGTTAGCTATCTTATTCGTATTTATTCCACTAGATCAGAAGATGTATATACCGTTTGTACGCAATCGCTGTCAGTACTACAAGCCATCGGCGCATCTGGTGTATGACTGTAATACTTTGCTTTGGTATACCCGTGGCATACACCAACTGGGGCGTAACTAGAGCATTCCCTAAGGACTTCTGGGAACAGACATGGCCCGGTTGACTGAGTGCCTTGGCTGCATTTTTCCGCGGGGGCTGCATGACATGCGCCAACGGCAGCAAGGAGGACGATGAGAGATTGGAGATGCATGGTGAGGTCGTTCGTTCTTGGGTAGTACAGAGTGGAGAGCAAAGGTGGTAATATACCCTAGATATATTGATTTATATTGAAAAAAAATGAGGACAATGATGATTTAGATGTTCGATAGCAAGTTGTGATCTTTCCCTAGAGAGCAGTGTTCCCAAGGTCTTTATACAACACCCTACTTACTTTTTCATACCTCTCTAACCGTCTCTCTTATGGGCCTCAATCCGGTAGACTTTCCTGCCATATTGGCGAAAACTCGGTGCTTACTATGATGTCTTTGATGGTCCTTGCCGCCGGTTCGGCGCCATTTCCCCGCTTCTGCTTACCCCCATTTTCCAACACTCATCACTGTCGAACCCTTTTCCCACCTATGGTATGTAGTTACTGCAAAAATCGGTATCGCCATATTCTCGCGCCCTGGAGCTACCGATTTTTTTATCTCCACAAACACGCACATCACACCTTTTGTCGCCGCATGGTCCTACTCCTTCTCAAGTTTCGCAATCACCACATATCAATCTCGCACACAAAAAAAGGAGGTACAGCACAATACTAAGAGATTGAGACGGTGTAACCTACTTGCCCTTGAAGAAGGAACCGGTTGGCCATACAGTGACCAAGCAACTAACTACTACTACTGGGTCTTTGCCAACACGAACCGATCGCACCAACCAACCAACAACCTACCTGGCTACCTACCAATCAGTCCAACAGCCTACCAACCAGCCAGCCAAAAACGACCAACGCAGATCCCCTCACACCCTTGCTTTCCCATATCGGTGGCCTACCCCACCAGTAACACCGCAATCCACCCCCCGTTAGTAAACCGCTGCATACTTAATCCAACTTCCCACTAGAAGCGCAGAGAGCAAACGAGTCATACCCAGTGCACTCCGTCAGTGTTCGTTTTTGTACAACGGTACAGTGCCTTTGAGAAAGTGAGGGTTATGCTAAGACTGTCCAGTCTCGCATGCAGGCGCTCCTACAGTGAGCGTGCATAGTTTACTATGCAGGAACAAGACCCAGTAATCCTTGACTTACCACATTAGTTAGATTTCCGTCACTCTCGTGGACTTTAATTCCTGGTGTCTTACTACGGGTAGCATCTCTGCTTCTGTAAAGCAATGATAAAGCCACTCACAATCTGATAAGTTTCCAGCGACCAGACGGCAATGCAGTTTTTACTCAAACCAGTTGATATGTTCGGCCCGATACTGTAGCCAGAGTGAATCGCCGCTTCTAGACGCTGTACCTGCCTAGGTGGGTAACCTCGCATCCCGGCGATCGATCTGACGCACGGCAGGGCCCGGCAGGTACCTGTCGGATCGTGCGATGCCCAGATTCCCAACTACTCCACTAGCCGTGCCGTTTTTCGGAATAGCCGGTCGGCATTTTTACCCGTTCCCGTCATCGCCGTACTGTCATACAGGTCATGTGATTCAGTGAGGCTGCCCAGCACGTGGGTGAGAATCGTGTTGGATTTGCATTTGAATCCGTCGTTTTGTTGTGATACCCATGGTGATATTGTCAGCATTGCACACCGTACCTAGGCGTTTCCCTTCGAGGTATTGTTGGTTTAGGCGAGAGCCGTTGAGCTGGCGATTGCGACGTTGTCCAACTTCTGCATCGAGCGATAGACCCATTCTGCTTGCATAGCTCAACCGCCCATGAATGACTTTGTATTCGTGCTAGTTTGCTAAATGTCTGGCAACAAGACTTCCTATTTCGTTTGTGAAGAACTTTGGCGTAGAGATACGCTAACTTCGAGGCTTCTAGAACG